CAAGAAGAACATTGCCATGCAGTGGATGAGGGGGCTGCTGGCTGCCTCTTTTCTCGCAGTCCTACTTTTGTGGTTTGATTGTCCCCCTACAAGAACTCGTTCATGATACAATTTTCTGACATGAGATTTCTCTAGAATAAAAGAAATTGTCTCCTCGAAAGCCAGGTACAGAAAAATATTGATTGATATGGTAGTGCAACATCGATGCCATCGCCAAAAAGATACTGTCACCTTACTTCCGATTCTCCGCGATGGTATGAGTCAGAAACGCTATTRATTTGTCCAATGCCCGCCGATGCGAAATCTGGGGAGTGATTGGTGGCTGATTTCCAGCGTATTTTCAATCTTCTCTGGCGTGCCATTGCAGCCTTACGGATCGAGGCTCCGGATGGTGTACGWTCCGTCCTCTTCCTTCGTGAGGTCCTGGACGTTGTTCAGTAGCGATCCGTTGAACTCGTTGTTGGGTTCCAGCTCGACGACGGGTCGCCGGTAGCGCTCYACGGGGGTGTTGCTGGTAGACTTCCGCGGCTGGTGCTGRTCGTTTGGCGCACCATATTGCTCCAGGCCGTCGATGATAAAGTTGGGCGTGTCCGGGGCGCAGCCGTGGTGGTACCTCTGCGAGTTATACTTTCGCCGTTTGGTGGGATCCGACARGACCTCGTAGGCCTTGCTTATCATCCGAAACTGGTCCGTGGTGTCGTGGTTGGGGTTGGCGTCTGGGGCACGCGGACAACGGCGGAAGGAAATCGCGTTGCATTGCATCGCATCGCATCGCCATGGCAGAACCGCGCGGATGGCACCCCAAGCAATTCAATCCAACGCAAAAAAGCACATGCAGAGAGACAACGATGTGAGACGAATCACAAGACAAGTGAAACAAAAACGCCCGACCCGGTGCAGGTGGAACCGRCCCTCCGTGTCAGCAARCCAATGGCGTCCGCAAACGGCACGGCGGACAAACCGATCCCGTGCTGCTCTGCTCTTGTCTTAACCGCCCACAGCCATACGCACCGGGATGAAACTTCTTGACCAGACGGCGAAAGGCGTTCTTGACGTCCTCCCTCCCGGCACCCTTGGCAACGCCCAGGACGTCGTAGTAGTCAGGCGCCCGCTGCTTCCGGTGTTGGTCATTGTTCCCGTACCTCTCCTGCCAGAGCGAGGAATTCGGAAAGGAGTAGAGGATCGCGAAGGAGGCACAAGGAAGCGTCCGTGCCGGCAGCAGCAAACACACAAATGACAGCGCCAGGGACCAGCCGAGGGTTGCAATCCTTGCCGCCGGCTTGGCTCGGAAGCACGGCCTGCTGGTATGCGAGATCATTATTCGTCGCCGCCGCCGGGAGTGGATGGAATTCCGTGCCATTGTTGTCGTGTTTTGGTTCCCTCGCATGGTGTTGTGTGCAGTTTCTGTGTTCTCCTTCTCGARAAGGGTTCGGCGCCAATCACTCGAATCGATCTGGCGATCTTTGTCGTTGGTACCGCACCGTAAGATCGGTAACAATAATACCCGTTCCAAACCGCAATTCGAAATCGGAATAATCGGATCAACAAGCAATCAATCTTCCCGGAAAGCTTSGAGACGAAAAACTGATGTTTCTGCCATMAGGCCTCGCCATCAAATGAAATGCGTACAGTAGAGTACGAGTACGATTACCAGTACGAATTCCGTTCGTACGTAATCGTTTCTTGGAACATCAATCAGATCAAATCCAACCAACCAAAACCCAAGAACGACGATGTTGTGCAACGAGCACGAATTGTGTTCTTTCGCTTGCCTSTTGCGCGCGATGCACGCAGATGATGCCCCTTCTTCACCGGGCCCCTTCGATCATATCGTACGTATGAACATAAGGTTCGGTGGTTGTGGTGATAGGTGCGCCATCTCGCCATCTCCCATTTTACAATACTGCTCGTTCCGATGGAGGTACGTACGGTACGGTAGGTCCGTTCGTACTCGTACGTCGGGTTGCAATGACCACCAGGTAGAACGTCATTGTTTCAGTTTACCGCCTAATGATTTATGGAAAGATTGTTAAATATTTCGTGGTTTGAAGTAGTATCATAGTTGGAATATGWACTACGTAGCTGTACGCAAGGCGCACGCCGGACGGGTCACTATAGTTATTCAAAAAACAATGAGCAGAACTGGGCCACAACTTTCGTAGAGTAAGATACGGGGTCTGGGGATGTTCTGGAACAAAGTCTCTCGTTCCTTCCGTACAGTACCGTAGGGATTGTTCTTGCAGTAGGGATTGTTCTTGCGGAACAACTCGCCACAAAGAATTTTTTTTTAGAACCACGAACCGCAAACTTCCAAAAACTCTTTTTGTTTTCCAACCATGAACGATCGAACGGGCAGCAAGAAGAGGCTGGCTCTGATGGGCATCCTCACGTGGGTCGCTTTTCATCACCAACAGCAACAATTCCTCATGGTGGATGCCGTCGGAACCAGGAGCAACGGACCATCGATCCAGCACCGTGTGAAGCGGTCGAATCGAAGGGTAGGCTACGGGTACGGTGCTGGAGCAAAAACGAATTCGAACGCGCGCAGAAACGTGCGCAGCCGTAGTAGCATTAGCAGGGGAACACGTGCCGAAGATTCCATAAATGACGATTGGGAGCTGCGGAAAGAAATCCATTCCCAGGACGTAGTATGGGTCTTTCACGCGCCAAGCAATGGCGACAGCAGTAGTAACAACAACGACGATGACAACGGCAAGAACCCAGCACACGCTAGAAAGGATGAAACACCAGGGAGGAGCAACAACGTGCTTCGGTATCTCTACGATCAGTTTGTAGGGGAGAGAGTTCCTCCTTCKGATAGCCTCGGSGCGGAAACGAACGAACTTCTTGGCAGGAGCAACGGCACAACAGAGCTAGAATTCCATAATCGTTTTAATTCGACTTCAAGTGGCGCACTGTTTCACAATTCCGAAGATTCCCACCCATTCATAAACAGCAATGGCAATGTTACTAGTAGCACCAGCACTGCTACTTCTACCACAACAACAACCACCACTACGACTACTACSACAACGATAACCGGAAATATTACCGAGTCAGTTGTGTATACAAACTATACCACTGTGACCGAAGATCACACACAATCCAACGACGAACACTACGAGAACAACAAAACCAATCCGAGCGCGGACAAGAACGTTCACCATACCAACAACTATGGAAACAACGGTGGGTACTCTAATGACGGAAATGCCGGCCATTACGGCGATAGCAGCGACGATCTTTCCGAGGATCACGGCAATCAACACGCTGCGAATGACACTTCCCAAGATGAACACAACGATGCCGGGGAGCCCCAGTTCCAGCCCCTCCGGATGCGAGCGATCCTGGCGGAGGAGAACTCGGACCAACGGATCGGCCTGAACGCCACCGAGCGCGACATTTTGTTCTACGACTTGCTGAGCCCGGCCCTCCTGGCCTGGAGCTCGTCCCTGCGCGTGAATCCCGTAGTGGGGAACCTTACGGTTGACGTTCACCAGCTCGTGGACGGGGTCACCTGCGGGCCCGGGATGGATTCCGGCCTTCCGTCGATCCGAGTCCCSACCCAGCACATCGCCGAGGGAATCCCGGATACTGACATGATTGTGTACCTGAGCCTGGGGCTGTCGGACAGCGTTGGCAGCGGCAGCAATGGAACGGAGAGCAACCAGACGGATGCCAAGGCCAGCGGCCTCGACGAAGGCACGGAGGATCACGGKTATAAGTTCCGGTTCGAGAACGACCGAAAATCGCAAGGCAAGGAATCTTCCATGGGAGACCGGCTCAAGGGGCACGTCAATCAGGGAGAGGATGGCGACGATCGAACCAGACGATCTCTGACTACGGTGAGGAATTCCGAAGAAAACGGATCGTCTTCGTCTTCGCAACCAATGGACGACAATTCCGCCGAACCGGACGGAACCACGACCATCAACATTTGCACTGGCTCCTATCTTGCCGCCGCCTCTTAYTGCTCTACGGATCAGTTCGATCGGCCCACAGCTGCCCTGCTGCACATTTGCATCGACGATCATTTCTTYGATACGAAGCACCGCCAGCGCAATATTATGACGCTGGTCCACGAGCTCGGCCACGCACTGGGCTTTAACGCCAACTCGATGGCCCACTTTCGGAGGCCCGACGGGACGCCCTACACGCCGCGAAACGAGGACGGAGACATTCCCGATACATCCATCCAATGCACCGGTCCCGAGGACGAGCTCMGGGCGGCCAYGCTGCCSCTACCATCGGAAGAAATTCTGCGGTTTCGGAGCGTGAGGGGCGGGGTCAGGGTGGCGGAAATTGTCACGCCTTCCGTGGTGCAGGTKGTGAGGAACCAGTTTGATTGCCAGGATCTCACGGGAGCGGAAYTGGAAAGCAGCGAGGGGTCCCCCCTGAGCCTCACCGACTTTGGGGCGGGTTGCATCGGAGACCACTGGGAACGGCGCCTGTTTTCGAGCGACGTGATGAATCCCATCGTGGACGACATTGAATACTCCACGAGGATTTCTACCCTGACCCTGGCGTACTTTGCCGATTCTGGGTGGTACCAGGTGGACCTTTCCAATGCCGATGTCGCTAGTGGATGGGGCCGGGGGGCGGGATGCGAGTTCGTCAAGGATACCTGCATCAACGAATACGGCGACGTCCCCCCACACAACGCTCCCTTTTTCTGCAACGAGGTGCCCGACGACCGCATCCCCGGATTGAGTCTGGCACAGAACATTCACGGKTGCACACCGGACCTATCGAGAAAGGCGAGGTGTTCGATCGGTCAGTACGATCTGGACCTCCCCAAGGCCTACCAGTACTTCAACTCGACGTACGGCTCGAAGGTAGGGGGGTCCGACGATCTAATGGACTTTTGTCCCGTCTACGACGGATACGACAACGGTCTCTGTTCCGATTCCGAGAGCGGAACCGTGATCCGAGCCAACGAAATCGAGCGCTTTGGATTGCGCAACTCGAGATGCCTGGTGGGAAACGTCCTGCCCTTTTATCGCAACACCGCCCTGTGCCTCCCAATTGCCTGCGTCCTGGAAGACCGCAGCCTMCGGGTAAAGCTGGATGAGGAATGGTACATTTGCGAGCACGCCGACCAAACGATCGAGTCCGAAACGGTGAACATCAACTGCCCGGACCCGCGCCGTATTTGCCCCACCTTTTTCTGTCCCTACGACTGCCTGGGGACCGGCGGAGAGTGCGATTACAATAGCGGGGAATGCCTGTGCCGGTACGACGACGAGATGAATCCAGGAGAGACCGTCCTGGAACCCTGCGATCTGGTAGAAGAGATCCGGGAAACCGAAACCATTGCGATGTCGACGAGAGCAACCACCACGCTGCGCCCTATCTTGCACGAAACGGGGAAGATAGATGCCCTGATGCCTCCCCTGGACACAAAGATTTCCGATTATTACGTGCCCGACGTCCTGCACCTGGATGCGGAGCCGCGKCTCATCGACGCCTGGATGGTGCTCATTCTCAGCATCACCTCGCTGGTCCTGGTATCCTTGTTTGTGGCCCTTTTTCTTTCCAAAAAATCCWTGCGAGATGGCTCCCTTGCGGCCTGCAGCCGTTTTAGGTTTTGCAGGCGGCCTCGACCRGACGAGGGCGACGACGACGGTATCGGACGGGGAGGAAGCCACGACGGCAACCGCGACAAGGACAAGATGGTGGCATCGGTGCTGGTGGACATGCGGATCCGCCAGAACGATGCGGCCAGGAGCATTCGCCGCTGGAGGCGGAGCGGAGCCCTACGGACGGACCTGAACGACAGCCTGGCCGAAACCGATGGCCGCATGACGGATTCCGAWATTGCCTCGTCGGCCCCCCCGGCGATGAGCGACTCGCTGTCGGAAATCTCCAGCCGGCAGATGGTGCTGGATGWGAGCATGGACCTGTCGTCAGACTTTGGATCAGACGGCCTCGGGGACGAGGGAAAACCCACCGGAGAAGAACCGCCGCCATTTCCGCCGGAGTCCCCGACCCAGATGGTGCGGAGACGGTTTGTGGGAAACCTGTTTTCGTAGCGATGGGTGGATGCCGTTCCGTTCGTGTTGGTCCGTTKCAGGGATGCCGCACACCTACARAGATTTAACATTATCACYACCCTTACGTACGCAGTTTTTCRTTGCAACAAAATTAGTCWYGAACCACCAACGATTCGGCTTCTACTGTACTCTTTATTGCCAAAATGAACAGGAGGGAAGCCTCGTCCAACCCGAGAAGAATTCCGGGRAGKGAGGWGAGGCATAGTGCCAACACATGGCTCGACAAACAAGAAACGCGATGTCCAGTGTCGAMTGTTCTTACCTGTGTACCYGGCGTATCACATTCGGCAGGAAGAACCGAAAGAGTTTGATTTTGGAAACGCAGTTCACGAAAGTGAYTGCGTTTYTWCTTTTGACACATTCCRTGGTAGTAATTGGTGTTGGAGCAAATTCAAGATTTGTGGACTGCTCTTCCCTTGGGTACACAATCATAGCATCACTTGTACYACAAACAACAATGGCTTTTATGAAAGATTTGGTACCAAGGGAAGTTGTTTCACTYGAGAACTGTGGTTGCAATCATTGTTCTTAATTCTATATAGAACTAGTAGCACTACTACCAGTACCAAGAAGAAAGGCTTCCCTTCCTATTTCTTCTTGCAGCGCTACCAAAACCAAACTAGTTCAACGAAATTGAGAATGGYATTAGTTAATTTATCACACGGATGGGTTGCACCAAAAACAGAAGCATTGAAATTGCCCGATTATTAAGCTAAATTGTCAAGGCGCTACCTCGTACTAGTATTAATGCGTATTCTAKGACGRAGAGTTACATGTTTACTGTTTCATGGTGTTACCAATAATTGTTACTGTTGAATTTCTYATTAGGACTACTAGGAACGTGCACAATCAYATTMTGAAAATRTGTTGTAATTAGCCGTACGRGAAGTCGCATAAAGTTTTGATGGGGAAGAAAAAGAATCAAGTGCWAAGCTCTTTCCTATCCATAGTATTGACTATGACCCACTATCTGACCCCAAATTCACAAAATGCCTATCATTTATTGTCTCATTTCAATACTTTTACTTAAATGTAAATAGGAGAACTCGGCGAGCAAAAATTTTGAATTTCTTAGATAYACGTCCCTACGCGACCAAAAATGGATGGTTATCTAGGACGGAGCACGTGCTTTTGTCGCCTATAATCCGTTAGCAGACGATTTCGTAGCCTCTAGATGCCTAAAATCTTGGAGTATTCCTTGCCGATTTTGTTGAAGTGTGTTTGTTGATGCGTTGGATATGGTATGAAAGAAACAATAGGTTTACGATAGTGAATTAGGAACATTCTACGGTAGCCTGTCGTTGCACGAAGATAAAATCGGAATCATATCCATCTCGTTACGATAAAACATAAACACATAACATTGCTTCAAGCTCGAAATAGGCGTCAGAGATATTCATTTGAAATCTCATAGTTCAGAGCGTTTCATCGCAAGAGTTCCGGCKGATCCCCCTTCGTTGCTACTATTTTCCAATCAAACCATTTTGCAGAGCAACAGAAGAACAAACAATTACCAACCATCCTTTTGCATCACACAGAAGAAATATACATAAAACCATGGATTCTGCCTTTTCGTACCTTCAAGGTTTGGTCGACGCCTTCGAAGATGTTGGAGGAAACGAACAAAGAACAAAAAGGCGTTCGGCTTGTGTTCACCAATCAACAGCTTTGCCGACGTGTTCTGTGAATGCAATCAATTGCAACACACAAGTTCCAAATACCCATAGTGATATCGAGGAGCAGGGATCTTCCATCCACGAGAAGAGGGATAAAAGAGAGGAAAAGTTATCGACCAAAAGAAGTAGGGATGGCAGCAACAATATCGACTTATCCGAGTCGACAAGAACGCCGACGCCGTCCAAGAATCCATCTTTTGCAGGCCTCGTCAAATCAAAAAGCCTAGAAATTGCCAGCCGAATGTCTCTCTTTCAATCCTTTTCTGACAATGATCCATACGACATTAAAAAATCGGGCAGCTCTGTCAGCAAGACCACGGCCGATAGCAACAGCGACGAGTCTGGTTTTGAATGGGCTCAATCACTGTCGTCGAACAGCGATAACTCTTTTGATAACAATCATGGATTTGTCATCGATGATGCACTTACAAAAACTAGTCACAAACGAAACAAAAAGCAGCGAGGAAGAGGCCGCAGCGGACGACACATCGAACTGTGGTCGCACGGGATCATCTGGACGTGCATGGCAATATCTTTTGGCTGGTGTGGCCTAGCTTTCTCTTAYGTATCCCGAAAAAGCATAAATTTTGTGGTATTAAACGATCCCATGTACCTCGATCCTCGGTACGAAAAAATTGAATCCTTCGGAATGATCCAAATCGAATTGTGTTACAATACAACACATTTGGACATTCTTGAGGAGTTGAATGACGAGCCCAATCCTCGACCAAAAGATGAACCACGAGACCTCAGCGCTGAAGCTTTGCTTTACGAACCCGAGAATATGATCGATGYACACRATGTTGCTGCTCACGAATACGATGAATCGGAAATCGATGGGGAATCCAATACTCCGTGTATCGTTCACCGATTGACGTCCGACGATGTACGCGACGACACCCTATACGTAATTTCCCAAGCGGCTGCATTTTTGTCTATGGTGCTCGGTGGGTTTGTTACGGTTTGTTTAACGGGKTCAGTCTTCTGGAAGTCCATCAATCTACGCCCCATCGGAGCCGGATATCTTGTGGCGTACTTTTTGCAGAGTTTTACCTTCTTGATCTTTGATTCCGATATTTGTAGCTCTCAAAACGGTTGCKTCATGAGCCGGGGAGGAGTTCTTTCGGCTGTTKCCAGTGTCTGCTGGATCATATCCTGTGCAGCATCGGCGCGCATGGAAACTCGGAARCTCAAAAACGAAGCTCAACAACGACGAGATTTGAATCAAGTAGAGGAAAAGGACGAGGACGAGGACTTCGAGTTAATGTATCAAGAGCACATGTTGATCATGAACAAAATTCAAGAAGACAATCGCAACAAAAACGCTTCACGCATCGAGRGCCCCAGAGCGAAAAACGAWAAGCGACAAAAGAAAAAGGAACCGGGTCAACAAACTCGGTTTTCTTTGGGAAAACCGGAAGCTTTGTCTTCTCGCGATCGTGGTAGAACCGAAGAGACCGCAATTATTTCGGACGACGATAACGATGGCCGTTCTGCAATGGTCTCAAACGAATTTCAGAAATCCGATGTGGATCGGCTAACGACAACAATTTCTCCGTCTCGGTCAGTCCCGGTACYTCCGCCCCCTCCACCTTCCGAGTTGCCGAGGCGTCCACGAAAGTCGAAGAAGAAACGACCGAAAGACAAKTCGGACAATGAAAACCMATCTCCTCGAAAACAACAAGATCACCGCRGACGCTACCTTCAACAAGAAAATGGTTCGAGAACCAGCAGCCGTAAATCGAATCGACCATTGGATGTCACAGCGAACGATGATTTGGACCGCGCATACAACGACTCGGTCGATGCTAAATCGGMATCGATCCAGAAACAAGACTTTCTCGCAAATGCTGATGGCTTGGAACCACCATCATCTGGCAACCCCAAAGCCAATGATTGGATWAGCTTTAAGGACGGAAAAYCMAATACTCCACCACAAAAGRCCATCGCAAAAGATGAGATCGAGAAGCGGAGGCACCCGCGACAGCAACATCGTTCGTCAAGGAATCGACCACGTGCAAAGAAAGAACCTTCTACCACGAGTCACGACGACAACAAAACTAGAAGTAAACGGGGCTCGAGTCRCAAGTCGTTCAACGAAGACAAGCACTACGAGCTATAACGTGATGAAATTCGACGCAATGCACAAAGTACACAGCACAGAAATAGAGCAACATAATCCATAACAACAATAAATGAAAAGCCCTTCCAGTAACATTTTTCTGATTAGCAATAATATATCTGGGAGGTCGATGTTCATATTCAACACCTTCAACTATTTGGCGTTGCAAGGGCAGGAACGTTGCTGATATTCATCATATTTGTAAGTACGCAATAGTGACTACTAGTAACAAATGGGATGCTACATATTATCACAATTCATTTTCAACACCTTGCAATAACTGCCCTGTCTCCCGTCCACCGACAGATGGCATGCTAGTAACAAATGGGATGCTGCATATTATCACAATTCATTTTCAACGCCTTGCAATAACTGCCCTGTCTCCAGTCCACCGACAGATGGCATGCTAACTCTGAATTTCACGCCATCACATGGGTTTCAACTTTTCCCTTCGTTTCCAACCAAAACTGGTACCGTATTACCGTACCATCAATACCGTTACGCTACTACACACTACTACATACTTCTTTCCTCGAAGGACACCCGGGACCCGTTTCTTTAAAACTTGGAAAAAAAGGTTGCAAAATAAATGCCGCCGATTCGAATCACAACGTAGRAAAGAGGAAAGCAATCTTGTTTCCTAAGACTTCCGAAGTCATTCTCAGCATAGGTCATAAATACAGTACGTAAAATAATTCAGTATTTTTTTTACTGTCCAATCATTTCAAATCCACGTCATGTAAGTGCTAGTCAGAAATGAAAATACTTAATATTATGATCCAGGTCATCCGGAACGTAAAACAAAATAATGCCATTATTTTGAAAGGCTTATTACAGTTGGTTCGATTTTGTCGCTATTGTCACTATCGGCGGCATTTGTATGAYTGAGATATATCTTGGGTTTTTTTTTCACGCTTCAAGTTCTTAATTTATAGGAACCCATTCACGTCTGGGGTACTATCATTTTTGAACCGGCATATATGTTTCACTCATAAACTTTCCGTTGAAAAGGGGTAGCAACGATTGATTATTTTCTTCAACTGAACCAAGTGGTCAAATAACCTCACATCATGGTTAATAGAAGTCCCTTGGGGAGAATGATATTCGTTTAAGAACAATCCCACCGTGTACCCAGTACCATTCGTGTCAAACTGTTAATAAATGAGTTATTGAATAGCGCGAGTGAACAATCATGATGCACAATTCTCACATCTCTCTCTCACAAATCTAATGACGACGGATTACCTCACAAAAAGGAACAACGACWTMAAAGAAAAAAACATGAAAAAACCCACATTTMTTATACTAGCCTCGCTTTACCTTTCGGTTGCGAACGCAGCTCAAGATGGTTCTTCCCCTCTTCGAGGAAATGCGCAAAATCGTCGCCATCTTTTGCAAGATGATGCCGAATGTGTCCTGTACCTCAAGGATATCGAATACGAGGGTCATCGCGAGGGATCCATTTGGACATGTGAATTCTCTAGAAAGGAAGCAGAGACATTCGGTGGTCAAGAGATTATGGCCATCGAAGGGCTCTCCAAAGAGATTATCGAATCTATGAATGCGGTTTCGGGAGAATCTATCTTGAAAACCAAGGGCGCGTTTGTTGAGCACTTTCTCGGGAGCCATCAAGTCAAGATGATGATCCCACGACAGGCCGCCTTCGGAATCGAACCAATGTCCGAGAACGACCCTCGCAAACACCGGCAGCCAATACGTCGCAATCTAGCAGGCTCCCGACCAGGCACGCTCCGGACGTTGGTGGTTCGGGTGATTGATGGTTCGGGAACGGAGCCCACAGCCAATGCAGCTAGGTTAAGGGATGACATCTTTGAAGATCGTGTCAGCTTGAAAACACAGTATGCTGCTTGTTCAAAGGACCAGGCAATCATCGAGCCCGCCGCCGAAGGCAATGGTGGCATTGTCGACGTGAAGATTTCCACGAGGGTCACAGACAATATCTCAAACATCCAGTTTGAGATGGAAAACGAGGCCAGACAGAAGGCAGAACAGTTGTACGGTGGGAATAACGGACTTCAAAGCAAGTATGATCTTGTAATGTTTTGTATGCCTCCTGGTACGGGGAGCTGGCTAGCCTACGCATACATCAACCGATGGGATAGCTTCTACAACGACGAATGGTGCCAGAGTGTTTCAGCACAGATGCATGGTGAGTAGAACAGAAACATACAAATATGCGAAGTTCAATCTTCCGGTWTAAATTCATTATTGCAATYATTTCTTTCTTATCATTGACATTTTCATTCATTGATTCGCCACACAGAGGTTGGCCACAACCTCGGTCTTGGTCATTCCGGAACGGASGGTAATCCTTACGGAGACGAATCCGGAATGATGGGATATTCGTACTTCGAGGACGACGGCCCTGAAAAGTGCTTCAACGCCGCCAAAAACTATCAATTACGATGGTATGARCGACAAAGCAAGTCGGTCGATCCTCTTACTATGGGAGATGCCGAAAAGTTCGTCTTCAATGGAGTCGACGACTACAAGACGTCTTCAAACACCGGAGACAAGCTCATCACTCTTCGGTTAAAACAGTAYGGAGATACGTTCAGAGGCTCCGATTACTTTATCGGATATAACCGCGCATCCGGGCCCAATCGTGGGGTCAATGAGGAGGCAGACAGAGTTACTATTTATAGAAAGGAAAGTGGTGGAGAATACGGATACGGAGAGAGCACAAGAGTTGCCGCCCTGGCRCAGGGTCAAAACTACCGRATCTCAAATTTCAAAAATTCTGGTACCTCCGTCTATATTTATRTCATGTCAATTTCRAAYGATCAAACCGATGCATCAGTGATTSTTTCGAGAGGTGAATTGGTCACCTCGTTACCCGAGCCCCCTGTTCCATCACCCACCGAGGCACCTGGTTGCGCGGATGCCAACAATTGGACGTTCCGTGGCAGACCCAACAAGGACTGCAAGTGGRTTGCGAAAGGGCCAGCTTTAACTACGTTCAAACGTTGCAATAAACTTGACAGAAACACTAGAGTCTATGACCAGTGTAAAGAGACGTGCGGTGACGTTGGTCTCGGATCGTGCGCAAAAACTATTACGTGTGAGGATGATTTGAGCTTTCGGTTCGAGAACAATAACAGCAAGGGGTGTGAAAATTGGGTCKTCAAGTCCAAGAACAAACGTCAAGCTAAGACTCGATGTAACAAGAAGGTAGGGAACAMWGGKKWTCGAGTCTATGACTACTGCAATAGAACTTGTGGTATGGTTGGCCTCGGATCTTGCGACCAATTTTAAGCTGRAGCAAACAACATTCATGTGCAACGGTGCACAAAATGATGCAAAGCAACGACGAGGGAATCAATTCATAGAGCAAACAAAMTCCTTTATCATTCTGTGGAGACAGAAAGGAAACGACAAAATTTTAATTACTTCATAGACGATCGCTACTGCTGTAATAGAAAAAACAATTATTCTTGCTACTGTTCATCGGCCTTTCAACCAGCTTCGGCTCATCATTACTTAAGAAGAGTGAAGAGGAAAATTGACTCTTCGCGCCCTTATCATCGATAGAACAAACGTGGTATAAAATCGAATTGAGAATGAGATGTATGAACAATTCTCTTAAAGTACAGATATGAAATGAAATGAAAATTATGAAATTTATTTTATGCAATGAAAAATTGGCATACATACGCCGGCGAACAAAACTAGAGGTCAAAAATGTTTCGCTCCGCCTCCCCTACTCTGCGCTACTGATAGCATCGCTTAAGCTTTCACAAGGTGTTGTTGTTCGACATGCACAATGGCAATTGCAGGACCACTTGGGGTCTTGACCTGGGGTTCTTTGGCGTTTTTTGAATCGAATGAATCGAATCCAATCTTTCTTCTTCGTCTCCTCTTTTTGGTGCTTGTCTTCTTCTTAGATTCCGTGCTGACATTGGAAGATCTCTTCTTCTTTCTTGGTTGTGAATGAACCTCGGGAGGGAGAGTYTCATTCATATCAGTGCTGAAAACAAAATGCGTTTCAATATGGGTGCCGTTGTTGTTGTGGCTGGTGCCTTCTTCGGGTCTTACAGTTCGTGTCTGCATGTCTCTGGATTTTCTCCGACGACGATGTGCGGAACCTTTGGCAATGTCCGAGGAAATGAAAGCATCGACCATGGATAGGTCGACAATTTTCTTGTTGGTCTCGATATCGACGGAAATAAAWGCGTCTACAAGAGATAGATCCGGATTTTGAATACCGCGGTTGGTGGGAACGCCGGTTATAGAAATTGAGGTGCCAGAAGCAAGGGCAACCATGCAGAAAATGAGAACGGTTGTAATAGTGTCTTTCATTGTGGTTATGTTGTATTGTGCTGGGTTCCGGTGTGTAGTTTGATGCAATTTATGTTTTCGTTTCGAACGTTTTGTGCTGAAACGGTCTTGGTTGCTTTTTGCTCTCATTAAATTATGTGAGTTGCATCCATCGTAGTAATCCTCGCGGATTCAGAAGGGTCCGATAGTCTCACGCTCAAATCATTTCAGTTGTATGGAAACTTCTACAATATGTGTAGCTGCATATATTGAGAATCAACATCTATTACGCTGCGTTTCGCTTGTACGAGTACCGTTTTTGAATGAACAATGATTGGTGGCGTGTAAGTCTCATTTATTTCATTTGATACTGTGAATGGATAATCCGTACTAATAACGATACTGGTCACAGAAGCCTAGGATARTGATAAATGTTGAAGAGATTTAGGTTTGAACACCTTCGTGCCGCGGGTCCGAAAAATTCTTTTCAAAACATCAAGAATACTCAAGTAAGCTTATATATTTCAATTCGATAGGGCAATATTGTCTTTCTGCGATCAAAACCGGTTAAAATTACTTAGTTTAATCTTKAACGGAATAATTGTCAGTAGAACATCGATTTATTGACAACTTGGTGCGGGGTGCGCGGTGGGATGAGTCACSAGCTTATATTAAGGCACTAATTTCTTCACCGTCGACCGTCTTTCTTCGATTGACATTTTTATTCCATCGGAAAAAATCTAGCAACAAAGCGTAACTTCAATGACGCAAATAGTAGTAGCGAACAGAAAATATGGTGGTGGCTTGATTTTGGAACACCCAATAATAATCGCACGGTGTCGCAAGTTGTGGAATCATAAACGTCGTCATCATTACGATGTACGGGACGGTGCGTTCGCGCCTACAGTGTATTAGTATTAGCTACTATTACAAGCTACTGCTACTAGTAGTAGTAGTGTAATGATATTAATAGTACATATTAATAGTTTTATTTATTAGTACTACTACTACTAGTAGTAGTACTGATAATTATTAGAAGTATTTATAGTAGTTCGAAAGTGATAACACTGGCCGCCTGCCTCACGAGGAGGGATGATGAGGAGGAGTGCTGAGGAGTTCTTCTCCTCCTCGCTCTAGTAGTAGTAGTACTACTAAGAACAAGCAGCAGCACCACCACTGAATGATCCTCATGTTTCCCACCCAGCAAGAAGAAGAGGAACACCAATACTAGTAACAACAACAAGAACAACAACAACAACAAGAACTGAAACAAATTATTTTCTTCTTAATCAAATTCAAGAAATGTTGTTGAATCACCACAACTACTAGTACTAGTACTAGTAGTACTAGTACTAGTAGTAAAATCCGTATAACTACTAGTAGTACTAGTACTACTAGTAGTAGTACATTGCTTATGTGATGTAGTAGTACTACTAGTAGGTGAAATGCCAAAACTAGTAGTACTAGTACCAGTACTGAGCTAGTACTAGCTAGTAGTACTAGTACTCACACGACTAGTACTTCTAAAGTTTTAGTACCGTACTTTAGACAGAAAATACACTGTTACTACTACTAGCACCATACTAGTAGTAGCTGCTATACTACTACTA